CCATGTTCTTTGGGAGACTTTATATGCTGGCTTCCAGGCTGGCTTCCTTCTAGGCGGAAAAACAATTCTAGAAACCCAGGTCACACATTTACATCACCTCTAAAAGGAGAGCACTGTTTTCCTTCAACCACGTAAGCTATGGTGGCCTAGTGAATGAGTTGTTGCACTACCAATCCAAAGGTGCATGGTACAAATCCATCAGCTGCAACTCGGGAGGAAGTTGGACAATCTCCTTCTGGGAGGTTTTTACAGCCTCTGAAAACACACTGGAGCCATGAGCTGGTTCTGACTTGACAGGAATGACTTATTGTGCTGAGTCACTAAGATAAACCACTTTGGTTTAGGTCTGGGTTACTACGAAAACAGGTGAGTGAAGAATGTAAGGTTAAAATGATTGGTATAGTCTAATCATGACCTGGCCTTAGGGGTAGCAGGCAAGTCAAGCCCACTCAGACCTTCTGGCTGCCATAGATGAGGAAAGGAGGGATGGATATTTGGGGAGTTCAACAGTCACCTGTTATTGGGTCATGGTCACCATTTCAATCTCTTGGCAATAGCCCTAATTTTTCATTTGGGGCTTCATTCCTCTAATTTTTAAAGTATGTACTTGTGATGGAGCTCCACTTCCCATGATGGGAAAAGCGTACAATCATGATTTAAACCAACCAGTGCACTGTATTCCTGTGGCCATTGTGACTGCTTCCTGGAAAGATGCCAGCTTGATCAAAGCCAATGGAGTGTGGTGTGTTTCAAGTGCCATGTGCTCTCTTTGGCTGAACTTAAACCTAAGAGGATGAAAGGCCCAGAGAGTCTGCTGCTACCATTTTGCAACCACACAGAGACTCTGAGGCCAAGGCTGCTGTAGAGGAAACATTGGGAAGGAATGGAGAGACGAGAGACTTACTGAAAGTCACTCGTATGGCCAACCTAATTCCTAGATGTCTCAGTTTCTGAGTCAACACATTTTCTCTTGGGTTGAAGCCAGTCTGAGTCAGGCTTTCTGCCAGTGATGGCCGAGTCTTCAGTCATCCGTTCCTCTTCCCTTTGTGTAATGCAGAGTGGCGGTTATTCCAAGGACTGGACAGCAGCAAGTGGAGGGCAGAGGACAAAGAGGAAAGGCGTTAACTTTCTGCTTGTGTTGTGCCCTGTCATGGAGCTATCTACAAAATCTAACATGCAGGCTTCTAAGCCAGAAATAGTGCCATCAGGAGTGGGCCGTTTAAGAATCCTGTTTACAGGAATGACTATCTCCGAGTGGACACCCGCTTACCCAGGAGGCTGCCCTTCTACTCAGTAAGCCTGCAGGCTTCCTACCCCACACCGCCCACCGGGTAGTCTCTGGCAGATTCTTCTTGACATGGAGACCTGTGATTCTGTATTTCTCTATGGATGGAGAAGATAATAATTTTGGCATAACCCATCTTGTGTGCTATGTATCTCCCTATTTAAGGATCTTCATGAGAAATTCCTCAGAGAATTTAAAAACTTTCTGGATCCAAATGTGGATGGAAAGGGAACCTCTTGGATCTGCTAATGTTAACTCCACTGAGATAATGACACAGTAAGGTAGCAGTGGTGGCCTAGTGGCAAGAAGCTGCACTGCAAACCCAAAGGCATGTGGTTTGAACTCACCAGCTGCTCCAAGGGAGAAGAATGGGCAATCTCCTCCTGTGCGTTTAACTGCTTGACACCCACCAGAGGGTCAGCTGTGGGCTGGTTCTGACTCAATGGTACAGAACGACGACACAGGACAGAGCCTTCTGCTCAGCCTGGCCAAACTTGAGGCCCAGCTCAAATCTCCCCTCCTCGGCACAAAGCCAGCACAGACAGAAGACTTGTCTCTTAATCACAGGAATTATTACTGCAGTTAATTTCATAGTACCTTGAGACTTTTGGTGTTGTCTTAGAGCGCTTTGCCTTTTGTTACAGTGAAGGGAAGGAGGCGTTTCAATGTGTGCAGCTCAAATCTTTGTTGTTGTTGTTATGTGCCGTCGAGTCGTTTCCGACTCATAGCGACCCTATGAACAACAGCCCTAAACCCTGCTCTATCCTGCGCCAACTGCACCGCCTCTGATACACCCATCCCGATTACCCCAGTCACCGAATCAATCCATCTCATAGAGGGTCTTCCCCTCCTGCGCTGTCCCTCCACCCTCCCAAGCATGATGTCCCTCTCCAAGGACCCGTCCCTCCTGGCAACATGTCCAAAGTATGTCAGACGAAGCCCCAGAATCCTTGCCTCCAAGGAGTAGCTTGGTTTAATCCTCTCCAAGATGAATCTGTTTGTTTTCCTGGCAGTCCATGGTACATTCAGTACCCTTCTCCAGCACCACAGCTCAAAAGCATCCACTCTCCTTCTGTCCTCCCTAGTCACTGTCCAACTCTCTGATGCATAACAAGCGATTGCAAATATCATGGCCTGTATCAGGCGCACCTTAGTCTCCAGAGAGACACTGTTGCTCCTGAGTACCTTTGAGAGGTCCCTAACAGCAGACTTTCCCATCGTGATAGGCTTTTTGATTTCCTGACTGCTGGTACCAAGAGTGTTAACTGTGGAGCCGAGCAAACTGAAGCTGTGAACAATCTCAATCTCTTCATCATCCATCCTGACGCTGCTAATTGGTCCAGTGGTGAGAATCTTTGTCTTCTTGACATTGAGCCTTAGTCCATACTGAAGGCTGCAGTCTTTGACCCTTCGCAGCAAGTGCATGAGGTCCTCCTCAGTTTCAGCAAGCAGGGTTGTGTCACCTGCATAACGCAGACTGTTAATAGATCTTCCACCAATCCTGATGCCACAATTCTCCTCATAGAGCCCAGCCTCTCAGATAATCTGCTCTGCATACATGTTGAAAAGGTATGGAGACAGGATGCATCCCTGGCGTACACCCTTCCCAATTTTGAACCATGCAGTGTTACCCTGCTCTGTTCTGACTACTGCCTCTTGGTCCAAGTATAGGTTTCGTATTAGCACAATTAAATGTTCTGGGATTCCCATTCTTCTCCGAGTCAGCCACAGTTTGTTATGATCCACACAGTCAAATGCCTTTGCATAATCAATGAAACACAGATAGACATTCTTCTGGTATTCTCTGCTTTCAGCCAAGATCCACCTAACATCAGCAACAATATCCCTAGTACCACGACCCCTTCTAAACCCAGCCTGGACTTCCGGCAGTTCTCTGCTGATGTGCTGTTCTAATCGTTTTTGGATGATCTTCAGTAGAATCTTGCTTGCATGTGAAATCAAGGACACTGTTCTGTAGTTTCCACACTCAGTTGGGTCACCTTTCTTTGGAATGGAAACAAATATAGATCTCTTCCAGTCAGTTGGCCAAGTGGTTGTTCTCCAGTCTGGAGAACAAATCTTTGTTAGCAGGATAAAAATAGCCTACGCGGCAGCAGTGAAATGCCAGAACTTGGCTTCGGCTTCTGTCCTACCTCTGAAGACACCTCTTCCCTTCTGGAGTATCAGGCCCCACAGCCGTCACCTCCTGGCCAGCCTGGGACAGGGTCTCTGACCCAATGAAGAGGAAATCTCTACACGATCCCAGTCTGTCCCTGTGACAGGCTCCCTGCCTCTCCAGGACATCTGTCCATCCATCCAGCTATCTCCAAGGCACTAAATGCCTGGTCTGGGGCTCCAGAGCACAGTCCCTGCTCACAGGGCCAATCGGTCAATGATCCACCGTGTGGAGTACTAGGGAAAAACCAATGTGAACTGTTCCAGGGAATGGGGGGCAGTCACGTTTTCATTCCTTTTCCAACCCACTCCATCCTCAACTGGAGCGAGGCGATCAAGTCAGACCTCTATAATTCCCAAAAGACTGGGTCTGGAATTGTGTGTGCAGGTCTGGCAACCCATGAATAATCTTCATACCTTCTAGCATGAGTCACCCTGGAGAACTTTTCTTGGGGCAAGTCACAAATAAAAGACGTCATAGAAAAGGTTATTCTTTTATTAATTCAAGGAGGTAATATATAGCCGAATATGCCAGAGCAACAGGGAATGAGAGGCAGCAAATGGCAGAATTTTTGAGATGAGCCTGTGCTGCCTCTTGGCGCTCGCTGGCCTGCAGCACACAGCCGCTCGTGTGAATGCCGGAGCCCAGAAGCTAGCTGTGACCATGGCGCTGGACAGATGACCACGACACCCCGCTGACCGAGCAAGGTGTGGGCAGCAGCAGAGGCCCTGCCAGGGGGAGCATGCCACTTGGCACTTGCTCTTGCCGAGGGGCCTTGGCAGCGGCCACCACTTTCAGTGCTGGGTTTCCAAACCAACAGCGGACAGGACACGAATGAATCCTGAGTCAGAAATTAAGGTGAAAGACTTAGTAGGGTTAATACTCTGGGGAGAAAAGGTAACACTGTCTCTGAGGAAGGCAGCCTGGAGCCTGGTGGACGGAAGATGGCAGGAGACTGATGGGCATGGGCAGCCACCACTGACTTGAGGACATCAGAGGGCTTTCCATAGCACGTGGGTGGGTGAGGGAAATGGGCACAGGGGGCCGCTTCCTCTTGAGATTCCTTTTCCACACATAATTGGTTGCCCAGGTCAAATTCCCTATACCTGGGGTTCAAGTGAATCTCGCTGGCACATCATGTGGCCTCAGAGTGATGCAGGGTCCGATCTCAGTGCAGGAAGGACTGGATGGAACTCACACGGGTCTCTCCCTCAGCTCTGTGCCCTTGCACATGGCCAGGGTGGGAGGGGAGAGGTACCAAGCAATTGCAGGGCCTTGGGTACTTCCTTGTGGGATCCCGTCGGGTTATGTCAGGCTGTTTGTCCTGGAGAATGCGTATTTCCAGCCCTCAGGAGGGCGCCCTGTCAGGCGATTTGGTGGAGTGTAGTGAGGACTTCAGCTGTAACACTCGCAGGCATCATTCATTCAATATGACTCTCCAGGCCTGAGAGATGGCAGGAGAAGCAGCCTCCTTCCAGCACGCACTGTTCTTGAACCAGGCCCTGGCCAGGCCAGAGTCGGGTTTGGATGTCACACAAACTGACAGATTTTTGGTTTGACAGATGTGGAGCTAAATAAGAAACCACATCAACATGTTCTCCAGACCCAGAGCCAATGGTTTGGTTTGGTTTTGACAAGAAAGGAAACGGAGAGAGTCATGGCTCCAGAGCGGCTAAGGCTTGTGCAGCACAGAATGTACCACACGTCGGATCGTATCAACCTTGGTCTGACTGGGGTGGGCACAGAGCCGGGGGACCCCGTGGCATCTAGTCGAAGGCAGGCTCTGCTGCTGCCTCACCCTCCTGCTCCTCAAAGTTGGGGACTGGCTTCTGCAGAAAGTGCATGGTGGCTTGGATCACCTTATCGGGTCCAATGTTGTATACGGGGTGAGTGGGCTGCTGCAGGGAGAAAGGCAGATACTTGTTAGGGCCTCAAAATGTTCACCTCCTCACACCCGTAACCACAACTCCAAGAACTCACTACCCAACCATCAGGATATACATGAACTCTTACCACGCTCTCACCAAACACTGAGCAGCCTGTGCTTATTGTCCAACAGGGCCCTTGTTAACGGTCTAATTCTATGAAACACCAAGTAGCATTACACAGCCATTCAAATGCATGCTTTCAAATATTTAGTAACATGGGCAGATGCTTGTAACATTGTGAAAAATAGTATATGAAGTATTATCCCAAACTTATTTTGAAAAGTGTTTGTATATGTGGGCAAAGAATTTGGCTTGGCTCTTTTACTCTGGTTTCTGAAAATAACTCAAGCCATCAAGATGCCTTTGTTTTCCAAAATAGCTGGGCAAGCAGGGGCTACACAGGCCCATACACTTGGCACATGAACTCTGGAAGGGAAGGCTGCCTAGAGTAGCGTAGTGATGCATATTCACTGCCTGCATGGGTAATAATCATGCAGTAAGGCTCAAGTGTGCCATCTTCACTGAGGTCCCATCGAATGGACCTAGGAATTTGGCCCCTCTGTTGGTGATCTCACTGAATCATGAGAACATCTATGTAGGAGAGAGGGAGAGACATGACCTTGGGAACAAAGGAAGACTAGTGGCTCTGGGACCTCTCCCAGATCTTGCCTGCTACATCTCTATGCTTATCATTTCTGGCTATAATAAATAGGTAGCTGTGTGTACAGGTAGTTTCTGCAATTTCCATTGAGTCACTCTAGCCCACCAGGGGCAGTAAGAACCAGGAGACAGGCTGGAATTTGTCTACTTGGCAGGGGCTGGAAGGAAAGAGTCCTAACATGTGGAGATGCAACTGAACAGTCAGCATGAGCGTAAAAGTGTCACTTGGGTGGCCGGTGTGAGAATGAGGACGTGGGACAGTGGGGAGATGAGTGATCATCACATATTAGAAACTGGCCTTGGATTGGCTATTTATTATTCATATAATACATGTGAGCTCTGGTGGCCTTGTGGCAAGAAGCTGTGCTGCAATCCCAAAGGCACACAGCTCAAGGCCACCAGCTACTCAAAGCCACCAGGTGCCCCATGGGAGAAGGATAAACAATCTCCTCCCATGAGATTAAATGCCTCTGAAAACCCAGAGAGTCAGCAATGGTCAGTTCTAACTACACGGTACACAACAAAAACAACAACAGTATTGCATATGAATAGATATATACCGAAATAGTAGCACTGATGTGTGGCTGTTTTTGTGCCATTTAACTCAAATCCTTGGTAAAGGACCAAAGATTGGTAAGTTCCAGAGTGAAACCTGAGTATGTGCAACTGTTTTTAATTCCCTTTTTCATATTTGCATATCCATATTCCAAATACTGAAACAATAAACATGTATTTGTTTATAACCAAGAAAAGGGACCACAACCCTATTATGCACTTAGTGTATCAGGTCATGCTGGAATTCCTTTATCTTATTGCACTTCATCACAGAAGCGTAGAGAACACACATCTGAGACAGTATGACCCCAGGCCGGCTTTCCTGGCCCTGCCATTCTGAGAGTGAAGAGAGCAGAATTACAGGACACATTTCTAAAACTGTAAGGGAACACCAAGAGCAACTTCATGGCCAAATACATGAAAAACAAACAAACCCAAAACACAGAGTCATTTAGTAGAATATAGTCAAAACTGATTCAAGACAGAAGTTTGCAAAGCCTCTGTGAATACATAAAATCCTTACTTGCTTTTCTGCCACCACTATTTTGCCTCCATTCCTAACCTTCACTAAAAAGATATCAGACCTTAATGGATTGTTAGGCGAGTAAATCTTTTCAAACCCATATGAAACATCATCTCTAACCCATACGGACATTATAAAAAGCAAGGGTGAGAGGCAGGAGCCACCCCTCTGATTTTATGAAGCTGTATTATCGTAAAATTACACACAACTGTTCCAGACAATGGGAAGAGGCCCCACCATTGGATCACAGTGGACATTCTTACTTGGACTCACTTCTCTGGCCCAGTAAACCTGGCTCGAGTGTTGCCTGCACACCAGGCTGTTCTAGAAACAGATGGAGCGTGAACATGCTGCCCTGGGGGAGCCAACATTACCGCGGGAAACTGACAATAAGCAAGCTGAACTAATGCGTTACAAGCTGCAACGGGTACCCTGGGGGCACAAAAGAGGTTCCGTGGCAGAACACCTGGGATGACCCCAGTACAGGAGGTGTTCGGTGTGGCTTCTCGGAAGAGATGGCACTAAGCAGGGGCCTCAGAAGAAGAGGGCAGCCATACGGAGCAGTGTGGTTGCAGATGTGCTACAGGCCTGTAGGGACTCGCGGCCTCTGGGTAACGCCAATGTCTGTGGTTTCCTCAGAGGGAACCCCTACAAGTGGGAGGTGGGTCTGAAACTCTAGAATCAAGGCATCAAACCTCTCTCACAGATTAGATTACCAGCCCAGAACCTTGGCTTGGCCGAGAAGGTTGATCCTGTCACAATCACAAAAATACAGAGTGAATGGGCTGCAGAATGGGAAGAGGGTGGAACTGCAGGTTGACCAGCCAACCCACATAGCATGGGCAGAGCTAGTTCCACCAGCACTGGCTGCGCTGCCTCCGTGGTCAGCCCGTGTCCCGGTGCCCTTAAAGGAAGGGAGTGGAGCCCCCCGGCCCGCCTTACCAGAGCGTTCTCGGGCACACCCAGGACCACGTCATGCAGCATGGCGCCGCTGCCAAAGTGCTGGGCAATGGACAAGCCGCTCAGGCAGTAGCAGGTGTGGTAGAAGTCCCGTGACCTGCAAGGACAGTGTGGCTCTCAGCAGGTGCCCCTCTGCACCTCAGACTCCAAATACCCATGCTGGGCAGACACCCACACACCCCACCTGTGTCCCCTACCTGGCTAGAGGGAACAGCTCCCCTCCACAGTTGTTTTTATTTTGACCCGTCCCTCAGCCCTGTCCAAGAATGGGGAACTGTAATTTTAGAGCTGGCTTCTCCAGCTGTCTTTAGGAGAGGGCCTGAGAGGTACAGGGCCATGGCCAGAGCTAAATTAATAAACTTCTCTATAACAAAACAAAAATATCTAGAAATGGGCCAAATTCTATCCCTGGATGCAGGGAGGATGTGAGGACGTGGAGGGAGCAGAGGAGGACAGGGTGTATTTGATTGTCTTTTTTAAATTATGGCACATAAGGGGATCTCAGATTTTAGTCATGTAATCGATTCTGTAATAGGTGCCGTGATTACAATCTCTGTTTACGACACTCAGGGGTTTAAAAAATAAAAAAAATCCTGTATCTTATTTTATTAAATCAGTTTGCTATTAAAAAAAAAAAAAGAAGAAGCCAAGTCAGCCAGTTATCTGCTGTCTGCTTATCTGGAGAAAGGAAGTGTAGGTGAAGGGGGTGCAGGGGGGCATGCAGGAGGAGGAGCCAGGGCTATGGGACATACAGAGGACACTCTCAGCTGGGGTGCATCATCCAACGCAACCCTAGCACTAGGCAGTAGAAACGCTTGCAAGGATGAGGAGTACCCAGGACTTTCCCTTAGAGGCTCTGCCACATGCCTCTGCTGTGTCCCCACCAAGGGGAAGCTTCCCCTCCCTCCCCGGTGGCCCCTCCCCGCCAGGGAAGGCACTCACTTGCCAGGCTTATCCAGCAGCCCCCCCATGGGGCACTGGCAGCACATGAGGATGTACTCCTGCAGGGCCTGCTGATGAAACATCCAGTGGCTCATACTGAGGGCGGGGTCACCTGTGGAGGCAGAGGATGGTGAGTGCCAGGCACCAGCAAGGCAGTGGCAAGGCCCGATGGTGTCCTCAGGGTTCATTACCTGTAGAACCACCTAAAGCTTCTCTTTATTCTCGGCACTTATGTCCAAGGCAAAAAACAAAACAAAAATACAGCTTCTCCTGAACTGTGAATTCAAAGAGCAGCTCAAAGTGGTACTTTCACTTTCCTTAAAATGTACCCCACTAACCTGGATGATCACCCTAACCAACAACCAGTGAACTAGTCACTTTACTTACCTTTCCAGACTGGCCTGCATTTGGTCCTTGACTCTTTGCTTGTTAAGGTATAACAGACCTCTCAAACTTGTTAAGCAGACTCTAATTAGCTATGGAGTCATTTAACTGGGGTAGTAATATCTACTTCTAATTGCCTAAGCCTAAACTTAGTCTTGCTTGAAAGGGAATTCGTTTTTCTCTCGGCTCAAAGATATTTTTTCCTAAGAAGCATTCCTATAGCTGCTTTTCTGCATCATATGATAGAGAGACGTTAGTTGGTGAGAGTCGACTGTAACTTGTAGCAACCTTACAGACAAGAGAATGAAAAGCCACCCGGCCCGGTGCCATCCTAAAGCCATCCACTTGTCTCTCAGTTTGTTGTAGTGACATGGTTTAGATGTTGCTATGATGCTCGTAGCAATGACAATATTTTACATACCAGCCGGGTCACACATGTTGGACAGGTTTCAGTGTCTCTACTGAAAATTAGCCAATGAAAACCTTTTGGAGAACAACATGATGACTGATTAACCCAAAGTTGGCAATGCTGGTAATAAAAGTAAACCAGGGAGCTCTGGTGGGTAAGGAGTTGTCCTGTCAACCCAAAGGCAGGTGGCTGAAATCTACCAGCTGCTAAGAGCGAGAAAGATGGTAAATCTCCTCCTGTGCAATTTACACTCTCTGAAAACTCATGCAAGTGTCAATTATGAGTCAGTTCTGATTCAAAGGCAAAGCAGGCATTGGATTCCTGGCATTTTCTTTAACGGTGAAAACATTATCCAGAACACCTAGCCCCTCCATTCCCACAGAAACATTTAAAAACTATCGAATGGCCAACAGACTCATGAAGAAATGCTCCAAATCACTGGCAATAAGAGAGATGCAAATCAAAATCACAGTGATACCATCTCACTCCAGTAGCAGTGGCAAAGTTTAACAGGACAGCAAGTAGTAAGTGTTGGAGAGGATGTGGAGATAGGAACTCTTATACACTGTTGCTGGGATTGTAAAATGGTACAACCACTCTGGAAGGCAGTTTGGTGCTTCCTCAAAAAGCTGAACATAAAAATTCCGTATGACCCAGCTATTCCATTGCTTGTAAAATACCCCGAGACAATGAGAACCGAGGCACAGAGACTTGTATGTCCATGTTCACAGCAGCATTATTCACTATCAAAAAAATATGGAAACAGCCCAGATGTCCAACCACAAACAAATGGACTGACAAGTTGTGGTACATTCATACAATGGAATACTATGCAGCATGCAGGAGCAATGATTTTGTAAATTACTACCTAACTTGGAAAGCATTATGCTGAGTGAACTCAGTCCCATAAGGATAAAACCATTATTATAGTAGAATGAGCATGAAGATCCAACGGGGAGAGGGTGGAGGGGTGAAGATGGGCAGGGGGAGGGAGTTAATTTAGGGTCATACAGTTTAATGGGATGGTGAGGGGTGAAGGAAATGGGAAAGACTCAGTGTGAAAAACAAGGTATTCGAACTTTGTAACGAAACCAGTATAAATTAAAAAAAAAACCCACAAACCAACAAACTATTGTTTGAACGACTTCTTCATTCATAAGGCCAGTCAGATGGTCAGAAAATTCTATTGGCAGTGCCATCATCACATAGGGAGGAAGGACACATTTCTGATGGACAGATATGATGGCAAAAGTATTAATATGAGAATTAAATACACATACACAGAAACAGAAAGAATGTGTATAAAGGCCTTGCTCAGTTTGATACTTTGATGTCTAGGTATTTAGGCTACACAGACAGTGAACAGTCTGTAAGTGGCAGCTGAATATTGTCATTCTCTTTCTAGTCTTTTTGTTTCTTTACATATTTTTCTAAATCTCCTAAAACCCACTGCCATCAAGTGACTGACTCACAGCTGACCTTCCTTAGGGCTTCTGAGGTGTAAACGGCACAGTAGGAAATTCCCCATCTTCCGCTCCTAAGGAGGGGCTGGGGGATTTGAACCGCTGGAGAGGCATGCCCTTGGTTTAGTAGTGCAACTCCTCATGGTCTAGGCCACCAGAGAGCTCTTTTTATAATAATTATGATTTTGTATTTTATTTTTTTCTCATTTACTCTTGGAGAAATAACTCTTTTAATCTGTTAATTTTCATAACATTCTTCTGAACAGTCACACAATATTTCATTAAGCAGAACCTCAGTGGTGCAGCAGTTAAGCATTCAGCTGCTCTGAGGAGAAAGGTGTGTAGCTATCTGCTTCTATAAAGATTATGGCTCTGGAGATCCTGTAAAGTGTTTCCAGCCTATAGGATTGCTAGAGTCAGAATCGGTTTGGTAGCATTTATTTTATTATGTGGATTTGTTGTTGTTGTTGTTATGTGCTGTCGAGTCGCCTGCGACTCATAGCGACCCTATGTACAACAGCCCTAAACTCCTCTCTGTCCTGTGCCAATCGCGGATACACAAGGCAAATGCATCATAATAGACACCAGGCAAAAATCCCAAATACATGAGTATATAATCTTCTATAGTAAAGATTTACTTATTATAAGTAAATACAGCAAATATTTACAAGAAATAAAGCATATAAAGGAGAATATGAAGGCAAACTATTTAAGTATGGAATGGTTGTATTTCAAACAAAGAAAATGAAGATATTTCCTAGAGATAGAAGAACGCAGGTCTTCAAACTGAAATCTTCAAGGTTCAGACCAGGGTAGACTGAACTTGATAAGACATGGGCATACCAGAATGAGACCGGAATGGAGAAAATTATAGAAACTTACTCTTCCTTAGAGAAACAGGTGCAACGTGGGAAACGCATAAAACCAACTCTCGTGACCGACAGAGCATGGAACAACAGTGCCTAGCTCCAACATGGCAGCTAGTTAGCACTACTTCTGGGTCCCTTTCCACAACCCTGGCAATAATACTATCTCCTGCATCAGGCTGCCGAAAGGGAGCATTAAGCCTCTCCTGAGCCTCCCATTCAAGGGTTTCCACTTGTAATTCTTCCTGGTTTAGATATTGTTGCGGCGCACTCACAGCTTACACACTTGAGTCTGTCCCAATTTCACTGCCTTGGTTATGACTAAATCTGTTCAAACCAGTTTGAAGCCCTGGAAGAAAGTGATGGCTGTTTGCTGAGTTGAGCACTAGATGAGTAAAGTGTTGTGGTTGGCTGATGTTTAGGGTCAACACCTAAACACTCATCAGCTTTAAGATTTTAATCCCTGCACCCCAAGAGATGCACAAACTGTAAGAAGCCCGCAACAACCAAGACCAACTGAAGGGAGAACGCTCAAGCCTCGAATTTCATGCTCACTTAACCGGAGCATACTCATTAAAGCACCTGCATTGTTTTTATGACTTTTTTCTCTCATTCTCCACCTGTAAGTAGTTAACTTTGCAGATGACACATACATACATAGGACTTCACTATATGGTTTACTTATTTCCAGCTCTTTGCAATTATTAAAAAAATGATGCAATTAATATCTTTCTGACTATTCTTATTCTCCATGTTTCATTTTCTTTTGCAGTGCTTGCGTGAAGCAATCTGTGAGGTATTAGGGTAAGACCTCAAAAGGAGCAGAGCATCGTATTTTCACCAATGTGCACAGAAACTGTAGTAGTCACTCTCCCGCAGCGGGAGACAGGTCCATCTGAGTTGTCATTAGCTCAGATGCACAGATGGGGCTGAGGGGCCAAACACGGGTGCCAGAAGGGCATGCAGGATTATTTTCTTCAGATAGATACACAGGAGTAGAATTATTGAGTTAAAGGAAATAAATGCTTCTTAAAGCTTTTAGCAGATGTTGACAAACTATCTGTTCATTACTCCCTGGGATCCACTAGTCAATTTCATTAATCTGGCATTTTGGATTTTACTCTTCACTTGTGGCAAATCATATGGATATTTTCCCCTGGTTTTACCCTTTGATTTGGTTATTTGTGTGACTGTCTTTTTCAGTACGTAAAGGCTTAAACATATGCGGCAATCAAAATATTGGTATTTTTCCCCTTTGTGAGTTCTCTTACCAAGTATATGTCATAAATACTGAGTTTCTCTTGGGGGGTAATAAAAATGTTCTAAAATTTATTGTGGTGACGACTACAAAAGGTCTGTGGCCATACAAAAATATCATCAAATTTTACACTTAAAATGGGTGTATTATGTGGTACTTGAATTCGCTCAATGATGCTGTTATTTTAAAAGGCATATTTATTAAAATTTAGGATAACTGCATTAAAGAGATGTTATCACATACATGTATCACACACATTTATGCTGTATAACAAAAGGCTACTTTTAGCATATAGATTATAATCATCATATGGCTAAAATTAGACTCTGCAAAGAAAATGCTATTTTTACCACAGAAAAGATTACAGAGTTGTTTCAGCTCCTCATATATTACTGGAGTTTAAAACTTCCTTGCAGAGATCCAGAATTTGCACACCAATTTTCATAATTATAGTTAAGATGAAGGGAAATATGATTATAGGGAATAAATGCATTGGAACCAGCCTTTTAAATCCCTTCTATATACACACACATTCCCTTAAATTATAGATACTCATAATAATGTCACATTGCATTTCAAAGTTACCTTTTATGTAAGAATTCAAAAGTCTCCCTGAACAATAACTGACAGGTGTAGCTCAATTTCACAGGTGGAGACCTACAGGCTTAGGGGAGACCTCACAGAATACACAAGAAACTAGTTAACTATCAAAGGGAAAAGAATCCCACAGGC